CCCTGCTTGTCTTACTCCCTTATTTATCTTTATGGTATCTGTATTTTCCCCATTTATTAATATTTTTGCAGTTTGCATGTTATAAATTGTCTTAATGAATCCTATAAAATTTTCACCAAATTTCATGCCTATCAGTTGTTTAATAAGAAAGTTCCAATTCAGGTTGTCAAATGCCTTCTGGGTGTCTAAAAATATCAATGCCATTGTCTTGGTTGTGTATACTTCATAATATTCTAATATATCCATAATGGTTCTTGTATTTGTTTTTATTTGCCTATGGGGGAGGAAGCCATTCTGATCAGTGTGGATAATTCTACTTAATACTCTCTTTAATCTTTCCACCAATATTGTGGCCATTATTTTGTAATCTACATTTAAAAGTGATATTGATCTATAGTTTTGAATTTTTTGTGGGTCTGATTGTTCTTTATGAATAAGGATAATATATGCTTCCATCCATGATTTAGGCATGTTAGCATTCTCCGTGGCTTCATTGTACAAGTCCACCAATATCTCCTCTATTGTTTCTTGGAATTCCTTATAGAATTCCAAAGGAATTCCATCTGGGCCAGGGGTCTTATTTGCTTTTTGTGTTCCGACTGCCTTCCTAATTTCTTCTATAGATATTTTATTATTCAAATTTTGTTTCTCTTCATCAGTAATTTCAGGCAAGTTCTTTTCATTCAAATATTGATCAATAGATTCTTCTGGTATTTCTTCCTGTTTATACAATTTCATAAAGAACTCCTTAGCAATTTCTTTCTTTTCTTGGGTTTGCATGCAAAATTTCCCTTCCTGATCTTGGAGAGCTATGATTGTTCTCTTTTCTTGTTATTTTTTAATTTTATGGGCTAACCACCTCCCCGGCTTATTTGCATTTTCAAAATAATTTTGTTTTGCTAATTTAATTTTTTGGGCCAGATCTTCCTGTACATTTAGATTTATCTTATGTTTTACCAGATCTATTTCTTTCTTTATGTTTGAATTGTTCGGGTCCTTTTGTCTACTTGTTTCCAAATCTTTCAGTTTGTCCCTCCATATATTTTGTTGCTGTCTTTTTTCTTTATTCTTTTTAATATAGTAAGCAATAGTTAGACCTCTCACATAGGCTTTGGTCGTATCCCAAAGATTCTTTAGGGAGGTATGTTCTCTTTTGTTTATTTCAAAAAATATGTTCAATTCTTTCCTTATCATTTCAATATATTCTTTATCTCTTAGTATGGTATTGTTAAATGTCCATCTTCTAATTTTTCTCTTTCCTTTCCATTTAATTTGAATGGGATTATTGTCAGCTCATAGGTTTGGCAAAATCTCAATCCTTTCAATATTCTTCATAAACCCAGGGTCCATCCATATCTGATCTATTCTGGACCAAGAGTGGTGGGGGTTTGAAAAAAAAGTATATTGTTTTTTTATTTGGGTTTAATTCTCTCCACACGTCTTTCAAGTTAAGTTCTCTTACCATATTATTAAAAGACGAAGGGAGTATTCTCCTTTCCTTTCCTTTTTTTTCTTTTTTTGGAAGTTCTATAATCTTTATCTTTGTCTTGGACTGCATTATAGTCTCCTACAATGCATACTTTAGCATACTCAAATTCTATTATCTTATGGTGAAGCCTATTATAAAAGTCTTTTTGGTTTGTATTTTGGGCATATATTGTGACTAATAACATCTTTTTCTGCTTTACATTTTTTTCTATAAAGAGCATTCTCCCTTCTTGATCTTTGTATATTTGTTTATGTTGCAACCAATCCTTTACATATACTACAATACCACCCTTTTTTTTGTTTGCAAGTGCTGAATACATTTTACCCAAGTTTATACTCTTTAAGAGGGTTGTCTGGAATATGCACTTCTTGGATACAAGTTATGTCAGCGTTTTGTTTTTTGAGTTTCTCTAATATCTGTTTTCTTTTTTATTATAAATTTAAACCATTGATATTGACTGAAAATAAAGTGATTTCTCTATCAGTGTCACTGACTGTGCGAGGCATTTCTCGTTTCATTCCTTGTTCTAGGCTCTCTTCTTAGTCTGTTGCCTTCCACTTCTTCTCTAAGATTTTTGGGTTCAGAGTGTGGATCAGATTCTTTTTCTTTGGAGAGTTGTTCCTCTTGCCTTCTTGTATTTAAGTCATCTCTACTTTCTTGTTCTTCCTCGGGTCCTAGGTGTTGTTCACAAAATTCCTATGCTTTTTCAATTGTATCAAAGCCCCTCTAAAAGCCCCTTTGGGGTGAGCCACCTAAATGGAATACCATTTCTAATAAGTTGAGTTGATAAAAACTGGTAGCCCCTTCTTTGCTCTCTAACTCTCCTGGGTATTTGTTTCAATGTAACCACTTTATGATCTTTGTGTACAAGTGGTTCATCTCTGGTCTTACTATAGAGCAGGTCTCGTGTTGTCTTCCTCACAAATCGAATGTGAACCTCTCGGGGTAGTCTATGTCTCCTAGCATAGTGTGTATATACTCTGTAGACCTCGTCTACATCATTTTCAATTTCCAGTTTGGGTTTCTGTAAGGCCGCTGCTATCAGATTCATCATAATTGCATGTAAATCTTCCTTTCTGTCTTCCACCACATTTTGGAACCTAAGATAAAATGATGCCTTCTCTAATTCCATGTGTACCATCGAATCCCGGAGTTTGCAGTAAAGAACTTTCCAATTTTGTTCTGAATCCTCTAATTTCTTCTCTACCACCTCCATTCTTGCCTCTACTAAATTTAATTTCTGTTCATTTTTTATCACTTCTTCCTGCATCTTTCCAATCTTACTATTCAAATTTTGTATTTCATTTTTCACTTCTCCTATTTCAGTTCTCTGTTTTCATGTCTTCGAGGTTCCTCGCTATCAATTTGTGGGTTTTTGTCATCATTTCCTGCATCATAGTAAGCGTTGTCTGTACTGCAGGCAGGCTTTGAGCTGAACTAGTTTTTTCTGCCAATAGCATTGCATCTATAGATCTCTGCCCCATAGGTGAAGACATCGTTGTTGTAGTTTTCTTTCCTGATTTTACATTTGTAATTGATGTTGTCGCCATTTTAACTATCTGTAGCGGCTCTTTCCAATCTACCATCAACTATCCCTAGTAGAGCACTATTTTCCTCTCCTTTTCATTTCAATAGTAATATTAATACATATATTATTATATTATTAATTACCAAAATTCTATTATGGAAATTCACAATCAGCTCTTATTTCTATTTTTAGTTATTGAACTTATTCAACTATTACAATACTTAAGAGAATTCAATATTAATCATATACAAATATATTTACTCACAGAATCAACATTCTTATATGCTTAATTAATTAATTTGAAGCAGCCAATTCATTAAAGTAATTAAATTCTTATCTATATATAAATATCAATTATTCTATTTCTTTAGAGTTCTTAATTATATGATCTCAGAATAAAAATATCTACGTTTCTTACTATATGATTATTATTTAAAGGTCTGAGTTCTATATTTATACAACACACTTTCAATTGTTCAGTTATTCAAAAATTATTAACCAGTATTCTTAGCTCAATATTCTAACACATATATATCTATTAAGATTATGTTTTACCAATATTATTTAGTTACATCTATGTTTGACCAGTTGAGTGATGTCCATGATCATATTCTTCTTTTTTGAAAAATACCTTATTACAGTTCTTAGTTCGAGTTCAAAATGTCCTCTTAAAATTTGCATAGTCACTTCCACCGTTTCGTTTCTCCTTTCTGTTTTGGCTTCTTCTTCTTGCTCCTTTATTCTTTTTCTCGACACGGTCCCAGTTCCACTTATAAATCTTAGTTGTCTTATTTCTTCCTTTTTTCATTATCACAGTTATCAGACAAATATTGCAATTATAAAGTTTCTTTCCTCAATCCTTTCCTTAAATCTTTCAAAGTGTCAATTGTTCTCCTTTCAAGTTTTTATTCTCAGCTGTTCTTCCGATCTCTCTGTCTCACTTGGACACCATCACTGTTACTTTCTCTTTCTTTCTTCCCACAGTTCTCAAATGTCAAACGCCAAGAAATATAATTATACAACCCACTTTTCAACTCCCAAGATAAAAGTAAATGCTGTTGTCTCACCCTTCAGCTCCTCCGTTTTCAGCACTCCATTAATCAACACAAATTACTGCCGTTTCTTTAGTTAGTACTCCTTCTGATGTTTCTACCGCTTCGCTACACTGTTCGGTTTGGAGTTTCAATTTTCAATTTCCCTTTGTAGTATAAATCGGTATTCTGGAAATCTTCTTTAATCTCACCTTTCCACTACTCAATTTGCTGTTCTCCACTCTTTGCTTCCTTCCTTCTTCTTTAAACTGCTGGGCTGCCACGTCTTTGGTTCCAATCTGTGCAATCTCCCTCTTCTGCTGTTGGTTTTTGGGGGATTCTCTTGTAGTCTCCGGGATTGCGGCACCTCCCCGAGATCTCCAGGTCTTCCCCTTTCGTCTGTCTATCCCTCCAAGGTCCAACACGCTCCTGGAAGCCACCAAACAGCGAAAATTGGATCCTTTCAGAGCGGCGATCCGCTTCTCAGCTCGGCTTCAACTCTGCACCCAACCGGAAGCCCTAGAAAAAAATATCTTATTGCAGTAAATGCCAGTAGTTGCAAGGCATTTGGGACAGCAGATAACAAATAGCTGTGAGAAAAGGCTTTCAGAACCAAAAATGATTCCAGAGAGATTCTAGATTTTTTTTTCAGCTTTATGAACTTAAGTTGCAAATGAGAAGTACTGTTCTGAGGTACTTTAAAAGTTGCTTGAAAATTTGACTGATCGCATTCTCAGATACCACCCCCCCCCCACAACAGCAGCCAAAATCAGATGTATAATTGCTTTCAAAATGTTGTTTATCCAGGCACATTTCATATGTCATGGATTGTCTGAATATATAAAGATACACAATAATTGCTGTCTGGAAAGGATTGACTTTTTAAAAATACATGTTTATATCACTCTTGATGGTTTCTTGCATTTATTTAACTTCTTTTTTTTTTTTTCAGGGTATCTTCCCAACCAGTTTTGTTCACTTGAAAAATGCATGTGTTAAGAACAAAGGGTAAGTGGAAATTTGAAAACCCTGAATTTTAGCAAAAGATAAGGAAAAGGCTTTGGTATCTTATAGCATTCCTAATGGAGTGGCAATATATTTAATGTGACAAATAATTAAGCATAGGGAAATATCTGTATTTAATTAAATTACTTCATTGTACTTTACATTTGTCAAATGTTACTCTTTTTAACCTGATCCCACTACTTTTTTAAGCATGCTGGTCCAGAATGGGACCTTTAGGCTCCTACCCTTAGCCGTACCTCTTTTGCCTCCAACCTTCCTCCTCCACTGGCTCTCTCCCAGTCATTCGCACTGGCCAATGGGCCTCTGATCCTCAACCCCGCATCCTTTGGTCTAGCCCATTCACCAAGACACCATTTGTCCAGGGCCTTTGGCAGATGGGACAGTTAGCCACCAGCCAATCAGGTGGCAGGCAGAAGCCATGGTGACAACCATCTGATACAATCCAGAGAATCCGAGATAGAATCTGGGGAAGAGGCATTTTGTTTTGAATGACAATGTAAGTCCGAGAACACCCTCTATTCAGTCCAAATGCCACATCAGCATCCTTTTTGGGTGGCTGCCCATCCTCCCACCTTCTACACTCTCTCAAAAACCCAACATCTTAATTACGAAAGATTTTCCACCCAGCACTGCTGTCTGTCTCTCTTCCCTGCCTCTGAGCATGTACCGAGTTCTCTAATTCCATCAGACAGATGGCCGGCCTTGACCAGGGGAGATGAATTCTATTTATGCCACATGCTTCTTCTGATGGCCACTTGGCCAGATCCCAAATCAATCCAATTCAGCCTTTTCCTACAGGTTAGTCCTCCGTTTATGACCACAAATTGAGACTGAGATTTTACATTGTTGAGTGAACAATTTGTCCCATTTTCTGACTTCTCTCGCCATGTTTGTGAAGGGAATCATTGCTGCAGGTGTTAAATCCTTCACATGGTCGTTAAGTGAATCTGATTTCCCTGAATCTTCATTGCTAAGTGAGACAGCTGTTCAGTGAGCCATTGGACCCATTTTACAAGCTTTCTTGCCGCTGCTGTGAATCGTTGTTTAAGTCAGTCAGATGGTTGTTAAGTGAAGCCGTCTTCCCCAGTGATTTTGCTTGTCAGACGGTCACAAAAGGGGGATCATGGGACCCAGCACATTGCAACCATCATAAATGCAAGTCAGTTGCTAAGCACCCGACTGTAAATCACATGACCATTGGGATAGTGCAATGGTCATAAGCGTGAAAAATGGTCATCGGTGGCGTTGTAACTTTGAACAGTTGCAATATGAAGTGTTGTAAATCGAGGACTACCTATACTGTTTTCCAATTTGACAGCAGTCCTTGACTTACGACTGCCATGGCCAACTTTGACCGATGTTGTATGTCTGTACCTAAGATCATGCTGTATGGAAGATCATGTATCCTTCACACAACCTTCCTATGATAGCAATGGCAATAGCACTTAGCCTTATATACCGCTTTACAGTACTTTATAGCCCTCTCTAAGCGGTTTATAGAGTCAGTATATTGCCCCCAACAATTTTGGTCCTCATTTTACCGACCTCGGAAAGATGGAAGGCTGAGTCAACCTTGAGCCTGGTGGGATTTGAACTGCCAAATTGCAGCAGCCAGCAGTCAGCACAAGTAGCCTGCAGTAGTGTATTCTAATCACTGCGCCACCAAGGCTCTTTGATGGTCACATAGTGAGACAATTGTCAAAAAGGGCCATCCAATCATTTTATGACCGTTGTTGTGGTGATCACTAAGCAAATCCTGCCGTGGTTAAACAAACATAATCATTGCTAAGTGAAAACCCTGGTTTGCTATGGCCTCAACAGCTGGAACTTCAGAACTGGAACATACGTTCGTATCCCCCCCCCCCCCACACACATACGTTATAACTTGGAACAATCACTATGAGTGGTCATAGATTGAGGACGTCCTGTTGCAAGACTTATTGAACTGGTTTGATTCCAGCACATCTGGAATCAGCTTGGTACAGGGTGGATGGGTTACTCTGCCACATGGTCTTTGGAGTATCTTGAGGTTTTTTTTCACACTGCACATAATCTTAGCTGGTTTTTGACTAGCCAGGTTTAAACCATGAACGTTTGGAGTAAAATCTGTACATTAAAGAAGCTAGACTTCCCAAATACAGGTAGTTTTCGATTTATAACAGTCCATTTAGTGACTGTTCAAAATTACAGTGCCACTGGAAAAAGGGACCTATGACCGTTTTTCACACTTAACGACGATTGCAGCATCCCCATGATCCAAATTCAGACGCTTGGCTCATATAACTCATATTTTTGACAGTTGCAGCATCCCAGAGTCGCGCAATCTCCTTTTGAGACCTCCTGACCAATGAAGTCCACAGAGAATCCAGATTCTCTTAATGATCATGGGACTTACTTAAGAGCCACAACTGTTTGCTTAACAGTGGTGGCAAGAAAGGTCGTAAAATGGGTGAAAGGTCACTGAACAGGTGTCTCGACACTCAATGGTGGACAATAAGTTGAGGGGTACCCGTACCCTTCCCTTAGAGGTATGTTAATCACCTGTAATCTGGCAGGCCTTTGCACTCAAGTTCTCAATCTGGTCCACAGTGATTGATATACACTGTTGGATTGAGTAAAATATGGTGAAACTCACTTAACAACGCTCTTGCTTAACAACCAAAATTTTGGGCTCAGTTGTGGTCATAAGTCGAGGACTACCTCTGCCTTCCTCTGCACGGCAGTCTTGTCCTTAGGAAACTCTTTCCCTTTTCTGGGAATTTTCCTCTCTGGTTAGAGGTACCAAAATAACTCAGATGGAGCAGGGGGTTGGACTAAATGACCTTCAAGGTCCCATCTAACCAGCGGAGGGGGAAAGCTAATTGTAAATGGGCTGAGGTGGGAGGCTGGGGGTGAATGAGGTGCAGTCAAGGGTAAGAGCCTGAGGGTCCTAGATCAGGGGTGTCAAACTCTTATTTCTTTGAGGGCCGCATCAGGGTTGTGTTTGATCCTGGAGGGCGGGGTGGTGGCCATGGTGGTGGACACCTCTACACACATAGTTTTATACACTTATAAATATAGAGAGGTGAACATTTCTGTGGTTTTGTTTTTTTAATACTTTAATACTTACTTGATCTACTTGATCACCTTGTGAGTGAGAGACCAAATCAAGAAACTTATCAATTATTGACAGAGGCAATAGTAGCTGAATCCTGCTAGCCTGAAAGGTTAAATATTTTGCCTTTCTTCCCTTTTATAATCTTCTGAGTCAAGGAAGGCCTCCTGCAACACTCTGGAGGCCCCAATCAATGTCCGAGGCAGTGCGCCATTCAAAGTTGCCACTATATGCCATTTCAGAGTGCCACACGTGTGTGTGGGGGGGGGGGCTGCATGGGGGCACAGAATTCCTGGAGAGGAATTCACTATAAACCAAATAAAAAGGGTTTTATCGGGACATACAGTCGACTTCGTGCTTTTGGGGAACCTTAGGTCAGCGCACCCTGCAGGCCAGGTGTAAGCATCCCGTCGGCCAGATACGGCCCGCGGGCCTTCAGCTTGACACCCCTGTCCTAGATCCTACCATTTGTAAGGTTCTGGGCCCCAAATGGTTCTGCTTACAATGTGGCTTCTTCTTTTGCTGGCTTGGTTTGGAACTGTGACAGGTAGCCAGCATTCCTACCATCTTTCTTTTGCATTCTGGGCTGCTAGCTGCTTCCAGCCTGCTTGTAAGGAGCAGGTGATCGTTGGCCATTGCATGCTGATTCTGGTCAGTTTTATGGAGTCAACTGTCTGTCAGTTTGTTCAGAATCAGCTGTTTGTCGGGGCAGCTTGCTGATTCCGGAGGCAGCTGCATGTCAATGCCAACCGGTGGGATGGCCAAAGAACCAGCAAAGGAGACCAACATGGGAATGGTGGAGGGGGCCACAGCCCATGTGGGCAAACCCCCTGTAGACGACCGTGTTAGGAGGTCCAGCGGCACAGGCTTCTGAAAAGTGGATGAAATATTTCAATGCTGCTGCTGGGACTAGAGCTCAACTACCAGGAGGTGGCCCTGACCATCAGCAGTCTGATGTGGCCTCCTCGGGGCAAGGGCCCCCTCTAGACTATTGGCAGCCACATCAGTGGACCAGGGAACCGCCACCCCTGAGAGTCAGATATGGGGACCCCGCCAGATTGGCTCTATTCATAAGCCAGGTGATTAATCACATGCATACCTATACCCCAGCCAGTGGGCAATGGTGGATGTGGTGACAGTGGCACTAAACAGGAAAGCAGCAGACTGATTAGTGGATCTGTACAGTGGCAACATTCAGAAGTTGGGAGATGTCAACCGGCTGCTGGAAGCTTTACAATGCCTTTTTTAAGGAGATGACTTGACCCATAGGGCTTAAGAGGAGCTGATGGCATTAAAGCAGGGGCCTCGCCGGGTGCTGGATTATATACGGGAGTTTTGCCGGCTTGCCGGCAAATTATGACATTGGCTGGAACAGCTTCTGGTTCATCAATTCAAAGTGGGACTTGATCGAGGCCTGCAGCAGGCCTGTGCATACCGTGACCTGCCCTCTTGGCCAAATAAGTGGTACCGGGCAGTCACAGAGTTAGATGCTAAGTTGAGGGAGTGCTGCCCAAAGAGGAACCTGGGACCTAGGCTATGCATGTTTGCTAAGCAGAGTTGACCATCAAATGCACGCTCATGGGGGAGCCCTGGTCAGAGTCCCAGAGCGGCCCGCTTGCCTGCCTATATTGTGCTTTAGATGCAGTCAGTCTGGTGACTGAGTGGCTGAGTGCCTGGCCCCCACACCAAAGGTGAGGAGTGGTGACGCCCACCAGATGGGTGGGGCCCTGCCAATGCTACCATTCAAGGGGGAGACATTCGCCGAGGTGGAGCATCCATAGGTTCCAGACAGCAGCGATGATTAGGGGACCAAGATCCAATGGTGAGTGCCCCCATCCGACCTTTCATGGTCCCAGTGTGTTTTGCAGTCTCTGGAAGGAGGGCTCGT